CGTGAGAAGAGATATCCGATTAGTCTTTTCGATAAATAAAATGCTCCAAACCATATTAGATATATATCGAGATTGTATTTCGCATAAAATGGAAAAGAAATGTCTCTTGAAACAAACACATCTGATCCAACTTGGGCTACTGTCTCGATGATATCTGCCGCTCGTTGAACACCACCGTGTAACTTGATTTGGGCTTGTACGCGCTTAATATTAAGTGAATAGTTTTTATTCTTTAATATTTCTTCTATTTTCGTCCTTAATTCGTTCGAAGTAAATTTGACTTTATCAAGTAATATCCCAACCCCAGCATCGGACACCTGATGGCCCATGTCATACTGATCAGCGAACATTGGCAAACAAATAATTGGCGTGTCTAGCCAAACACTTTCGTAGACACTGTTTATCCCACAATGTGATATGAATACCTTCACACGATCGTGAGCGAAATACCCGAGTGATGATGATACCCATTCAACAATTCGAATAGATTTTGGAACATAGCTGCCAGATAAATGACGAGCTTCGTTTTTGCTCAATTTCCATGTTACCCTATATTTGTCCGATGATAAAGCATCGAATAACTTGTGAACTTGCTCTTTTGATAAAGAGGCCGTAGTGCCGGCAGAGACATAAATAATCGGTTTTCCATTCTCTTCTTCGATCCACTGTCGATCGTGTACACTCAACTGGTTGACATAACCCTCTTTGGACATACTCATGTTCAACATGGGTCCAGTTAACTGAATATGCAGCGGGATCGGTCTTGGATATTCCAGACCAAATGCTGTATTCGACAAGATGACATGACCCAAAAAATAGCTCCATAAACTCAATGGTTTCGTGAAACCAGCATTTGTTCTATATTTATTCCAGCGTGAATCAAAACCTCGGAATCTGATCCTAAGCAGCAGACGCATTAGCGGCTGATAAGCGCGCATAATGGTATTAGTACCGAGTGTATGAATCGAGTTGTTCATAAAACTAACTGGATTATAATCAGCAGGTTCTAAAACCTCAAATCCAACGAATGATAGAATATCAGGATTATTGATGATGCAGGATATATTTAGGGTGTTACAGATATCGATGCCGGCATTCGTAGCTGAGTCCACAATTGCTACAGTTACATTTAGTTGCTTGTCTCGTAAGACGCTTACAGTTGCATTGTACATATAAGGATAAGCATCGATCAACCATTCTATAAGCAACTTAAATCCCGCTATTTTTGGCATTCCGCTCGCTCTTTCGTGAATTATCTTGCTTCCATCTATCCACGGACAATGGCCAATGTCGATAAATTCTACACTGTATGTTTCCACATATGCGTTAATTTGTGAACAACTGACAATGTATACCTTCCATCCGCGTCGTTGTAATTCAAGAGCTTGAGAAATCAATGGGTTCACATGACCAACATATGGTATTGCGATGAACAAAGCAGTATTGGTTGTTGCTTCAGCAGCAACAAATACCGATATCAACAATAACAGCGCTACTACATTCAACGCTCTCAAAGATATAGATAGTCTGAACATGTGCACGTTACTATGTTATATGCCCACAAAGAAAGAAAAAGGCCACCTTTACAA